GCTGCATGTGGTTCTAAGGACACCATCACCAGGCCTGCCTGGGTAAGAGTGTTCTATATCCCACAAGAGGGAGGTCAGGAGCCTGGCTATTACTGGCCATCTGCCTGCTTGCTCACCTCTCCCAGCCCACCCCCCAACCCCCCACAGGGTAGCTGGCGCTCCACAGTTTCCTTGGAGAAGGCTAAGTCCTAGGAACCCCAGGGGAACCTCAGAGGCCCCAGGAGAATGAAGACCTCCGGCTGTCGTGGTGCTAGGTGAGAGCAGCGGACTGGGTGGAAAGTTCCCTGCCACAGGCCCACAAGTCGTACAGGCCCTGGGCAACATATCCCCCTGAGCCAGAGAGAGAGCACCAGCCCAGCCGCCACAGGACAGAGAATGCCCTGGGCACATGTGGCCAATCACCCTGATCGGTCCCTGCCGGGTGACCAAGGGTGCCTGGTCCTGAGAAGGGGGTACTGCTACCGGTACCAGCCCAGAGACCCACAAGTCCAAGTCTAGCACTCACCTGCCCTACATCACTGAATGAAAACGCGGGGCCACGAGTCAGCTCTTAGTCTGCAAATGGATCTGAGATTCTATTCTGTTTGCCCAATATAATGTATGTTTATCTGTGTGTATATCCATACCTGGGCACACACATATAATATACCCATATAATATGTATGCGTGCATCTGTATCTCCTACTGCCAATGGTCACAGAGTGGCAGGGGTCTGCAGCCTCTCTGGAAGCCATAAATCCTTTCGAGCACTGAGCCGGCGTTCCCTTGAAACCAGGCCAATCTGCTCAGATGCACGCTCCCCAGGATTAACATTTCCAGCAATGCAGGGCGACTGGGAGGTCGCCCTAGAAGGCCATTTTCCAATACCAAGAGTGAGTGCATCCTTCTCTGGGGACAGTCCACAGTGATGCTCATCCTTGCCAAGCCCTGCAGCATCCTCTGCTGCCCTTACATTCATGCCTTCTCACTGGTAAGGTCACCACCGAGCTGCCAAGCACTGGACTGGGTGCGTGCCCACAGCCTACCCATAGAGGAGGAAGCTGAGGCACAGTTAGGGTGGAGGAGCTGGGGTCTGGATCCCTTGCTGCCAGCACCCATGCTTTAGAAAGGACCCAAAGCAGGACAGGCCTTGTGCTTGTGCTCTGGGACACAGGTGGGACTGTGGGAGGGGGCTACCTGGGAGGAGATGACCATTGGAAGACCCAGGCTTTCTTGGGACAAAGTCCAGGCTCCAGAGCAAAGACTCCAAGTCCCCTGTACCCCACCAGCCTCGTCTCACCCCTGGGTCCAGTGTCTGCTCTCGCTGCTGCTTAGCTCAGCTGAGCGCTCTGTGATTTCTCTCATCCTAATGCCATCCTAGCCACCCCCTGAGGTTGGCAGCTTTACTCTTGCTTACAGGAAAGGGCTTCAGGCGACAGCCAGGTCCATCACTGGCCCTTGGCTACTATGCCACCAGAGTGGGTTCCAGCTAGGGCCAGCTGAGGGAAGCAAGGCTCAGCTGGTGAGCACCGGTGGCCAGCGCCCTGCACGGCCTGGAGGGCACACGCTCACTCACCACGTGTTCCACGGAAGCCCCTTTCCGGAGGATGATGGCGTCTGTGAAGTCAGGTCTCTCTGTGAGGGTGTGGGGTGGAGACACGGGGGTGGGGTGGAGACACGGGGATGGGTCAGCTGCATGGCCGTTACTCGTGAGCGGCTCTGGAAAAGGCTACCAAGGTGGAGGCTCTTCTGGTCCCTACAGCCCCTCCGAGCTGCAACCGAACCTTCCCCTGCACCTTCTGTTGCCTCGCTATTCAGGACACCTTGAACCTGTCTAGGCCTGCGTCTGCAACCTTGACCTCCAACACGGACACGGATGATCCAAATCTAGGACTAAAGTTGCTAGCCTTCTAGCAACCACGGAGGGGCCGAGACCACCATGGCAACTGCTCCAGCTGGGGAGTCTGTCCTCCAGCCTTGTCAGCAAGGTCAGGGCTGATGCAGACGGCTGACACTTGGCCCCCAGGCCCCCTGGGGGATTGAGCACGTGCAGAGGGTGTAGAGAAGGCTCTGGCTGCAGAACACAGCTGTGAAGCGGTGCAGTGCAGGCTACGCCAAGAAACCGAGTCCTTGTGGACTTGACTCCCTAGAGCTTCCAGCCCAGGGCTGACTTTCTGACAGGTAAGACCAATGAGAGTTACTGTTGTCCTTGCAGGGAACACAGAGCAGGCTGTGTCACCTGCCCTCTGCACTGCCTCCTCCAGGCACTGTGAAAACCAGCAGCCCCGAGGACTGGATTCCTTACCACCAAGACATGGGTGGAGGCTCCTTCCAGCCTGGGGTCACGGCGACCCCGAGGCCAGGAGAGAACTGCCCCGTGAGTTTCCGAGACTGCGACTCTTTACAGGAAGGAGCCACAGACAAGCCCCATCTTTCTCCTGCAGGGTGGCTGGTGGTTTCAAACTGCTGGCTGTACAGTTAGCAGCCCAACTCGTAACCACGGTGCCACCAGGCCTCCTAGCAGGGTGCAAAGTGGCCTGAGCCAGGGGTCCTAGGGCACGATCTGAGAGCCAGGGACCCTGCCCTCTCAACTCACGTCCTCTCTTCTTGGTGTAGATGCAGGTCAGGGCCAAGTACTCCCACAGCATCTCCAGCAAGTAGTCCAGGTTCAGCTTCATTCCGCAGCTGCAAGGCAAGGCTCAGGTCAGGCAGAAGGACGCAAGGACCAGAGGCCGGGGCTCTCCTTTCTCAGGACTAGAGGACAAGCTGCCATCTGGCTGGGCAGCACAGCCCACGGGGCACTCGAGGGAAGGTGGCCCCTTACTGTGAGGGCAGCTTGATGGCCCCAGTCACCATCACGCCTCCATATCATCTCTCTCCCCCTGTGGGGCGGGGGCAGGGGGGTAGCTCTGTGACTGGCACAGGGTATCTGGCACCTGCCAGGGACAATGGAAGGGGCTGTGACAGGTACCGAAAGCAGAAGCTGGGCAACACTGCTGCCCAGAGCTCATCTCAGGAGGAGGACCAGCTCTCGGGGCAGCCCCTCAGTGCTGCCAGGGCAACGCAGAGGAGCCTGGCCCTGCGGGCGCTCCAGGCTTGACCATTACGGCCGGGAGCCGAGCAGATGTCTCTCTTCTGCGGAGTAGCAGAACGAGATAAGGGGCTGGGATGCAGGACCCATCGGGCCTGGGATGCAGCAGGACGGGGCCTGAGGTGGTCCACAGGACAGTGTTGCTCTCTGCACACGCTGAGCTGCGGGAGGTCAATTCTTGCAGCCACTATCCTTTTGGAACTGTCAGCAGAGCTCACAGAGAAGCTGCAGAGAGACTGTGGGGGCTGGACGCCAGCCACGTGGAGACCAGGAAAAATGCACCCCTGTAGAGGAACCCTTGACGGGGCAGCAGGCTGCGGTGCACACACACCTTGCAAGAAGCAAGGAGTGGAGTCTGGTAGGGTCGCCGCCCAAGAGCACCCCTCTCTACCCTGAGCCTCAGCCAGACACCCGAAGAACACTCGTGGCCCCGGATTTTCTGGTCCTTGGACCATGCTAACCTTGTTGAAGACATCACCCAGCCCAGCCTGATGGCTTGCCGGCACGCACGGAGTAGGGCTAGACTGACCCACAGCCTCAGCTATACCATCTAGAGCACACCGGCACACCACAGCGCGGAAGGCTCAAGTCCCGCCACGGAGACAGCCTGTTGGTGGAGGATGCTGGTGTGCGGGGCGCCATCCCTTACCTGATGACCACACTGTTGGGTTTTCGGGCCAGGCGGTCTACTTCCTCCATGGAGATCTGGTCAATTTTGTTGTACACCTAGGTTTTCAAAGGTGGAAGTGAGGTGATGGGGGGAATGGGACAGAGTGGTCAGAGAGGCCCCTTGACAGTCAGGGACCTCCCAGGCCAGCCCACCGGTGGCTCTGGCCAGAAAGGGCCAGGCCACCCTGCCTGACTTACACTTTAGGCGAAACTTATGGGACTCGGGGTGCCAGTTCCCCAGAACAGTAGGTGAGATTAGAACCATGGCTCCCAGCTCTGGACTTGTCTGAAATCTGTGCCCAGCCCCTCCCCTCGCACCCCTGCAGGCCCTACTTACATACAAGCAGGGCATGTACACGCGGTTGCCCACAATCACATCGATGAACTCGTCTGGGGAGCAGTCCTCTCGGAAAAGCACTTCCGCGTTGAAGATCTCTGAGGGCTGGGATTAAGGGCAACCCGACTGTTCCTGACGGGGCTCTGCGGCTCTCCGCAGGGTGCCTCTGGGCCAAGAACCCCACTCTCCTCCAGAGGTGACTGGGGCGGGCTGAGTTTTGAGGGCAGGGATGTGGTCATTCTCTCGACAGCCACCACAGGCTTAGTGCTTGGGGGCATCCGGGAAGCCATCCTGGAGCGAGCAGCTGAGCTCTGCTTCTGGGGCAGGCTTGGGGGTCATGTCCCCCCCACCCCGTGCTCCGTCCTGGGCAGCGTCTGCCCTCCTCTCAGAGAAGGATACTGTACTCGTGCAGGATGAGCTGCACCAGCTTCTCAGAGCACTGGGTCAGCGTGACTGTCGAGTTGAAGGAGATGCCGCCGCCTTTCTTGGGCTGCAGGAGAAGGCAGGAAGGAAGCCGGTGACGGAGGAGCCGCCAGCCACCCCTGCAACTCTGGCCCACAGGCTGGGGGCTCACCTTGAAGTAGATGTTGGGCTTCTGCTTGTTGAGGCGGATGCCCACCGACTCCAGCTCCTTCTCCAGCAGTGACCTAGGCAGAGACCCGCAAGAGCCCTTCACCATCGCCCTCGGGGCTGGCTCCCATGCAGAACAGGAAGCCCATCCTGCGCTGGGCTCACCAAAGGTCTTCCCTGCTGACCCAGATGGTGACCAGCACCCTCCTCTACTCCATCCCCAGCCACCCCCACCCTTGGCCAGTCCCCATCTGCCCCAGGCTGCCAAGGAGCTCCTGCCTGGGTCTTAGCGCCCAAAAGCCACCCAAATGCCCTGTGGAAAGGGCAGGTCGTTGAAGCCAGACCATGGTAAATTCGGCCGGTAGACAGCCTTGTGACCTCTGCCTGGCCCCCTGCTGACCTCTGCACCTCTCCTTTGGTGGCATCTAACATCATGATGACGACGTCAGCGGTTCGAGCCACGGCAATCACCTGTCGGCCCCTGCCTTTCCCTGGACAGGCAGAAGGGAGGTGGTTACACACTGGGGAAGCCAGGGACGCCTCAGGCCCACCCCACTCACAGCTCAGGGGATCTGTCCTCGCAGACCTGCCGGGGTTTCTACGTGTCCTGTCAGGGACTGTGATTTCCTGAGTTTTTACTGAACCACTGCCCGTCTTGTTGATGGGGACTTGGCTTAGGAGATGCAGCATGGGCAGCGAGAGCAGGCTAACGGTAACCGGCCTTCTGGAGCACTGTGTACTTCTGGGACACTCCCTCACCCAGCGCTCAAAACCCTCCTGGAAGGCACGCGTGACGACGCCCATGTGACCAGGGAGAAGCACTGAGGCCTGACCACACCAAGCAGGATGTGTGGTTCTGAGACGCGAACATGAGCCTGTTCCTTCTGGGAAATGCAGAGTCCTCTGCTCCCAGGGCCAGGGACTGGATCACACGAGTCAGCTCGTAAGGTGCTATGGGAAATGCCACAAAGGTCAGGCCTGGTGATTACTAGACGACCTGAGAAGTCAGTAGCTGGCCAGGGTCACAGCGAGTCAGGGGCTGACGCTGCGGCACTAGAACCCAGGGCTGTGGTTTTCAACCAGGATCTACTCTCCGCCTCTGAGAATGAGGGCTCTGGCTTCCCTGGGCAGCTGTGCCAACTCCAAGCAGTGTTCTCCTCCCCACCCAATGGTGCCCCAACCAGTTCCAAGTCGCCGAGACTGGTGTCACCCCACGCCCACCCTAGTAGACAGGCCTTGCTTTGCGGGGCCAGTGCACGCTGGAAGGACATGGAGGAAGCAGAAGCCAGGCCCCAGGCACCGGACAGCACTCGGAGGGAGACGAGACGGGAGCTCGAGAGGCTGGACTTACGCGTCTTCCCAGCTGAGCATCCGTGGTGCGGGGCAAGCCCTTACCCATCTGCCCCAAGGGTGTACCACGGTGAGAGGGAACGGAACTGGGCCCTCAGGAGGGCCAGCACCAGGCCGGCCACTTGGCAGGTCTGAGACCATTGAGAGCTAGTAACCAGACATGCGAAGCAGCGGCCAGAAGCCGTTTTGTGAAGTCTCCCACCCACCGCGGCCGCATGCTGACATTAGACCGGACAGGATGACAGGGCTGGGAGCAGAGTCTGAGGGGAGGGCTAACGTGTTCATCTCCCCGCTGGGACCCACTGGTGCTCGCCGCCGCAGTGGATGGAATGGACATGGCCAATCAGGCCTGTCGTATAAGCTGTGTGACCCTGAGGGGGCCATTTCACTTCCTGGGCTTTCATTTCAGGAATAAGGTGGGCTGTCACACATACCTTGGCCGGCCTCTCTGGGAAGTGGAAACTGGGGTGGGGTCAGGACACTCTACTCACTATCAGTCAGGCCTCAACAGCCACACTCAGCTGTGACGATGTGGAGACCAGGACGTGCAACATGTCGCAGGCCCGGGGTGGTGGTGGGGAGGGCCTGGGTGCTGAGCTCTGGCCCTGCCCTCCAAGCATCCGGTCCACCCCCAACTGGTACCTTGGGCTGCTCCTTCGATGATTCCAGGGAGGTCCAGTAACTGGATGTTGGCTCCTTTGTACTGGGGCACAGAGAGCAGGGGAAGGTGAGGATGGCGCTGGCTGAGGCCCCCAGGAGGAGCCCGTCAGGACCCACGGCACCCATGACGGACCAGCTCAGGGGGTGTGGGGCGTGGCCTTCAGGGCAGACTCAGTTCAGTGCTGCCCCTAATAGAAACGTCCCCCACCCCCAGTCACCTGGGACGGCTAGCTGTACAGTCGCTGGCTATGGGTACTGGAACCCTCCCTCTCCCCGGCTGGGGAACCCAGCAAACCCGACTTACTTCAATGACTCCGGGGATGCATGTCAGGGTGGTGAATTCATAGGACGCAGCTTCGCTGGCGGTGGAGGTCATTAAGCTCAGGAAGGTGGACTAGGAAGGAAAGAGGTGATGCCCTTTAGCACTCTTGCTCCAGCCTCCTTCAGGTGGCACCTGGGGGGTGCAGCAACAAGTGCCCTCCTCACTCTTGGCCAGCAAACTGAGTGAGCGTGAAGAGGTCAGACGTCCCTGCACCACAGGCCCCCCACTTCTTGGCAGCCTCGAGGCCCTTCCTGGTGGACAGGGACTGGTTTCTAAAGGACATTCCAAGGGCCTCTCTCTCACTCCAGACAACCTCCACCCCTCCCAGGCGCAGAGAGTTCTCGGCCTGATGACCCTCAGGACCCTGGCACCTCAACCAGGGAGGTGAGGTGGGCAAGGACAGAGGAAGACGGTGGGAGAGAAGGGGACGGCTGGGGGGGAAGGGGGAGAGAACTGGGCGATGGCTATGGTGGGATCCTTTACCACGTGGCTTCCTTGAGGACTGCGCCTATAGCCTGGCTGGGAGGGGAGGGACCCTGGGCTGCAAAGACATCCGGTGAGTCTCAGCGTCTGCAGATTCAGGCAGGCTCTAGCTTCCCTGCGGCCAAGACCAGGAGCACACTGAGAGGTTGGAGACGGACGGGAGGCAAGGCCAGGCCTGGTCGGCAGGCTTGGAACAAGAAGCCCAAGATACTGAGCGGGGACCGGGCCAGCACGCCTGGGGGTTTCTCAGCCACACGCCCGCCCGCAGTTTCAGAAACCAGAACTTGAGTACTCTGGACGCCCGAGACTGATGAAGGGTCACTGCAGTTGAAGGGCATGCAGAGCCACTGAGGTCCCTTCCCCGTGGGCTAGGTCCTGGGCCCCTGCGGGTCAGAGCGCCCACGTTCACCACATGGCCCCGACTCTGCCTCGCTGCACTCGGCACCCAGACAGGCTTCCTCCAGCTGGGTCTCACACCTGAGCAAAGGCCTGCGCAGGCTGGTAAGCCAGTTCCTAAAGAAAAGGCCAAACTAGTAAGACAGGGCACTGACAGTCCGAAACTGTGACAGCTCCTGTCGCCCGCTGAGGTGGCGGGCACCAGAGGGTAGGGCCTTTTAGGGAAGACCTAAATCTGTGTTCCACCTTCCAGAGGAAACTGTTGTTCAGGACCCCTGGGCTAAGGAACCCATGGCACCCACGATGGACCAGCCCCCAGACCGCAATGTCCCCACCCCACCCCAGGGGTGCTTCGCCCAACACAGACTGATTCATTCTTCTGGCAGGGCCCGGCATCTTCGGAATTGTCACCAATACCACAGAGCCACTGCACCCATTCTTCCCCGGTCGTCCTTATTCACCGCCCCGCGGTTGCCTGCATCGAAGGCTCTTGAGAACAGCACGGTCTGGCTTAGGCAGGCTTTGTCCTCAAAGCGGTCTGCTCGTCAGTAGTTCCAGACTTGTTACAGCAGAGCTGGCCAATGCAACACACAGCTGGCGTTCCAGGCCGCCGCCATGGGCCCTGATAATGGACCCGAGTGAAATACAGCCCTTAACAGCGGCTGTCCGGCCTCCACTCGTCATGATGTTACCGGCTCACTTGCGGGAAGTGTTCTTTTCCTTCCATTGAGGTGCAGGCAACAGTGAAGGTTATCACGTGTCACGTGTGTATCTGATGCTGTCCTCCTTTGCGCAGTCCAGCCTGCCAGTTACTGTGTGAACTGGATGAGAAGATGTAACCCCGATGCACACCTTTCCTGAGGGGCCACCATGCAACTGTCCCCTTGTCTGAACACCTGCCTCTTGGTCTATGTACAGGTACATGAGCACAAGTCATGTTCTGAAATTCCCATTCTCTGCAGTGTGGCCCCTAGTTTGTTATGCTCCACAGTTAAATGCTCTTGAACAGCTAACAAAACACAGGTAAACATCTTGCCAGTGTTCCTTGCTCTTAGTCAAGATCCAGCTAACCTGATTTGAGTTTCTGGCAGTTCTTATTCATGTACTTCTGCAATCATTTTTGAATTATCTTCAGCAAAATTTTACTTCCAAGTGATAGTAATGTTATTGCTGGATAATTTCCACATTCTGTGGAATAAGCATAAACAGATGGGCCTCTTCCAGTGGCTTGGCCAGCTAGCTGCAGCTTCCAAACACCAAGCTCAGCATGGAGGAGGTGAGCACCTCCAGTGTAGCATCTGGTTGCTGAAATATTTCAGTTGGTAATCTGTCTGTTCCCGGAGACCTTTTTTTTTTTTTTTTGCCAATGTCTTCAGCGAAGCTCGGATTCCCTTCTTCAACACCACCGGCTCGTGCTCCTATGCTTGCTCCTGACAATGATTCGATGTGAACCAATTCTTTTTGGTACAACGACACTGTGGAAGCGGGCAAGGAATGAAATGATGCATCTCATTGGGTAAATCTGCTGCAAAATATTTCTTCTTAAAGGGTTAAAAAAGCAGAGATGTTTCCCTGAGACGCACCGGGACCCAAGCCATGCAATTTTTTAATTGCCTCATATACATGGGAGAGCTGGACAATGAATAAGGAAAAGCAGAGAAGAATATATGCCCTTGAATTAGCATGAGAGCCTTCTTAGATTTACAGAAAAGGACTTCGTAATTTTTCCTTTTTTATTAATCATTTTCTTGGGGGGCTCTTACCAATCTTATGAGAATCCATCTTTCAACTGTATTAAGCATACTTGTGTAGATGCTACCATCAACATTTCCAACACATTTTCTTTCTACTTGAGCCCTTGATATCAGCTCCTCTTCCGCCCCCCCTCCCACCCTCATGAACCTTGATCAATGATATATTGTGGTTGTTATTTCATGCCTTACACTGTCCTTTGTCTCCCTTCATCACAGTTCTGTTATCCGCCCCGCTGGGGGGTGGGCTGTGTATCCAACCTGGTGCTGGGTTCTGCCTTTCACAAGCCTCCCCCCAGTAATTTTTCTTTCTATAAATCTCAAACTGCTCTAAAATAAAAAGTTGTTGTTGTTGTACGTTTGCTGCTCAAAACCCTAAAATGATCCTCAGGTGAACGCTCAGTCAGTATGGAGCTAATGCCACACTCTGCAGTTGCTAGGCCTCCATCCTCGTGGATGCCTCTCCTTTCACCCTCTGCTGTTCACGGAGGGGTAGCGTTTGTCCAGGACCTTTGCATTCACTCTGCCATGTTCCCCACCCCGGCATCTGCCTGCACCCTCGCCTCCCGTAGGCGCCTCTCCACCACCTCGTCAGAGAAGCTTCCCAGACCTGCTTATGGACACGGTAAGGCTCCATGCTCATCATGCCCCCTCTGCCCAACCCACTGTCACTGTGTGGAAGGAGATGACCTCCTGCCCCCGCCCCCACACTAAGGGGTCAATAGCCATCACTGACCTTACCCACAGAGGGAAATCCAATCAGCGCCACCCGGGCGTCGCCTGACTTCATCACATCAAAGCCTTCTCCTTTGGATGAGGCCGACTTGGAAGGTTCCAGGAGCTGTGCCCGGTACTTGGCGAGTTTGGCTTTCAGCAGGCCCAGGTGATATTCAGTGGCTGAAGGGCGGAAAGCAAGGGAGGAACATAAGCATCCAGTGTCCCCAACGGCATATGAGGTCAGATGAGGCCCAGGTGTGAGCCGGGGGTCTGGCCAAGAGCCAGGGAGCAATCGTGTCAAGGTGACACACTTGATTTAAAGAGCCTCATTTCTCATTTCCTTTAGAGCGGCGGTTATCAACCTTCCTAATGCCGCGACCCTTTAAGACAGTTCCTTATGTTGTGGTGACCCCCCCCAACCATAAAATTATTTTCGTTGCTACTTCATAACTAATTTTGCTACTGCTATGAATCGGTAGACCTCTGTGAAAGGGTCGTTTGATCCCCAAAAGGGTCGTGGCCCACAGGTTGAGAACTGCTGCTTTAGAGGAAGCCCAGGCTTTCTGTCCCACATCACAGGTCCTTGGGCTGGGCAGTGCCATTCTCATGGCATGCTGCAGACACCAGCGTATGTTTTCTGTGAAGTCTTGCAGGCAGGGGGAGAGGGAAGCAAGCTGTCTGCGAGGTCCGAGTCAGTCCTGCATATCCAAATCCCAAATGCCTTTTCATGTCTCCCAAGACAGGGAAACACATTCGATTGTGTGGGCCATAACAAACTATGGATTGCCTTAGAAAGAATGGGGATTCCAGAACACTTCGTTGTGCTCATGCTGGCCCTGTCAAGAGTCAGTTGTATAAACAGAAGAAGGAAATAGTGCATGGTTTAAAATCAAGAAAGGTGTGCATTGGGACTGTAACCTCTCACCATACTTATTCAATCTGTATGCAGATATGCAAATAATCAGAAAAGCTGGATTGTATGAAGACGAATTTGGTTACCGAGATTAGAGGAAGGCTTATTAACAGCCTGCAACATACAGATGACACAACTTTGCTGAGAGTGAGAAGAACTTGAAGCATTTGCTGATGAAGACTTGCAGCCTTCAGTATGGATTACAACTCAACATAATGGGGACCAGAACCCTCACAACAGGACCAGTAGGCGACATCACGCTACATGGAAAGAAGATTGCAGGTGTCAAGGGATCTTGCTGGGATCCCCAGTCAATGCTCAGGGAAACAGAGGTCAAGAGCAAACAACGCACGATGCATTGCTTAGGGTAAACCAGCTGCACGAGACCACTGTAAAGTGTTGAGAAGCAAAGGCTGTTACGTTGAGGGCCAAGCTGTGCCGACGACAAGCCATGGTATGTTCAATTGCCTGTGGAAGCTGGACAGGGAAGGACGCAGACCAGAGAAGAATCGATGCATCTGGATGGTAGTGCCAGCAAAGAATGGTTTCATGGACTGCCAAAAGGACAAATCGATCTGTCTTGGAAGAAGTCCCTCCAGAACGCTCCTCAAAAGTAAGGCAGGGAAGACTTCATCTCACAGACTTTGGACATGGTATCACGCGAGATCAGCCCCTGGAAAAGGACATTATGCTTGGTAAAATACAGGGGCAGTGGGAAAAGAAGACCTTCGACAAGATGGCCTGGCACAGTGGCGCAACAATGGGCTGAAACACCATAGGACAGGGAGCAGCGTGCAGGGCCGGCAGTGCTTCATCCTCACAGCGCGCAGGAGCCACCCTGCCGGCCGGCACTTAACAACAAGACCTCCAGACAGAATGCTCCGCAGAGGTGAGGATGGCTCACGCGTGAGGTGGACAGGTCATCAGGCAAGGCCGCTCAGTAGAAAAAGGGCAGAGGAAACGAGGGAAGCCCTTGCTGAAGTGGACTGAGCCAGTGGTCACAATGAACTCAGGCATACCAGCGATGAGAGGATGGCGGCGGGCTGAGCAATGCTTTGTGCTGTATTTCCTGGGGCTCGTGGGCGTTGGAGCCAACTCAACAACCAACAAGTCACGAGTACAGCGGGAGGGCCTGGTTTCAGATCAGTTGAGTCTAGAATCGAACTGTATTTTACATATAAACACAGGACTTTTTATTTATTTATTTCTTACGTTTTAATCGATTCTGCTGCCTCCAGGAGTATGCCCAGGGTGGCCTCTGTTAGGTGTTGTCTCAGACTTGGCCCGGCAGCTCAGCAGCATGGACCAGCATACTGACAGCGAAGGCTCCAGCAGGGAGCTTCAGCCGGCAGCATAGGTCAGCTCTGGGGCTGCCACCCACACAGTGGTTTTCCTTGCAGGAGGAAACATCTGACAGCTTCATTAGATGCCCCAGGGTGAAGTAAAATGTCATTATAAGTTCTTTCTCAATTAGTGCACTCTATTGATTTTTTAAAAGCCTTATGTGCAAATTATACTATTGATTGGGTATTTTATTTCAGAAGGGTAGCGGTGTTAGAAAATCTTTGCTATAAGGGGATGGGCACTGGTCTGACAAGTGCAGGGCCTTATGTGAGCAACTGCCAACTTCTCCACACACATCTCCTACCATCTCACTGGGTCCACTACATGCCAGCCACCTGTTTCCCAGGACATGCCAACCTCATTACTGCCTCAGGACCTTTGCAAACGATTGCAATCTAAACCAAAACCGATTCCATGGCCATTAAGTTGATTCTAACCCTTCACATGATTTATCTTTTTTTAAAAATCATTTTATTGGGAGCTTTCACAGATATCATAACAATCCATAATTCAATTAGATCAAGCATAATTGTACAATTGCTGCCACTATCAGTTTCAAAACATTTTCTTGCTTCTTGAACTCTTTCATATCAGCTCCCTTTTATCCCTTCCCTACCCCACCCTACCCTCCAGGAGCACTTATTATATTTATATATATATATATATTTTTTTTTTCTTCCTTATCTTACACCACCCAATGTATCCATTCACTTACAGTTCTGTCATTCATTTACTTACATTCTGTTATTTGTTCCCTTGGTCCCCCTCACCCCCACCTCCCTATACCCTCAGGGAATCATTACTCCCATTATTATTTCTGAAAGGTTTATCTATCTCAGATAGATATTATCTATTTCATGCATTGAGCGATCTTAATTATACAAATTAACATATGCAGGTCTAACAAGATTAATGAGTTAAAACTATGACCATAATAGTAAGGGGAGGAAATATTAAAGAATTAGAGTACAGTTATGTGTTTCTTCAGTGCTATACTGCACCCTAGATTTATCATCCCTTCCGTGTGGCCCTTCTGTGAGGGCCTGTCCAATTACCTTACAGGGGGTTGGGGGTCTCCATTTTGTCTATGCTCTTTCACGTCAATTTGATTGTTTTTGAACTTCTGATACCGATTCCCATCTACACCTCATGACCACAGACTGGTATACCTCTTCCCCGTGGGCTTTGTTGCTCCCAAGGTATCAATCTTTATGGAAGCACACAGCCCTTCTCAGCGTGGCTGGTGGGCCCAACTGTTGACCTTACAGGGAGCAGCCCAATAGGTCACCCATTTTCTTCCATTTCAACCTAGATTCTTCTAATTCGAAGTTGTGGAGAGATAGTGTCATGCCACGTTAAAAACCTGTGCTCTGCAATCAGCCTGTCGGAATCCCACCCTACTATGGCTGGCCATTTTACTTGGGAAAAGCTACTTACCTCCCCTGTGTCTCCATTTCTACAAAATGCAAATGCTAAGGGTAGTATCTACTTTTCTGAATTTTTATAAGAACAGTACCTAATATAAAGACTATTGATTACCTACAGTAACCAATAAGGAGCCCTACTGGCTCAACAATTAAGCACTCGGTTGTTAACCGAAAGGTCTGTCGTTTAAATCCACCCCATGGTTTGCTGGGAAAAGCCTGGGGATCTGGTCCTATAAAGATTATGGCCTAGAAAACCCTATAGGGCAATTGTACTCTGTCATATGGGGTCGCCATGAGTACAACTCGACTCAACAGCATCTCACAACAACACTCAGGAGAATATAACCAGAAACCCGCCCTAGAAATGATGGAGAGGCTTAGGCTGATTTATTTTGGATGTGTTCTCAGAGTGGTCCCAACAAAGGACCGAAGCATAAGGACAATTGTGATGATGACACCGGACCGGGCAATGTTTCCTTCTGTTATACAAGGGCCAACCTGAGGACACGCCCATGCAATGGCAGCTAACAACCACATGGCAGCCACCATCATTCTTGTCCCTCTGGGACCATGATCCTACTTACTGTCTTCAAGGCACCGGTCACTATTTGAACTGCTCTTATTCTCTATGTGGCTGTCTTTAGCACGGCAGGAATTGGGGCTGTTGAAGTTAGAGAGTTGTGTTCCCAGTGTTTGCTCTGGCACAGGGCTGAGCTCAGGAAATGTTTTAGCAAGAGAATGCCACGGGCAACTATGGCAACAGTCAAGCCCATCGGTTCCCTTGTCATCTCAGTCCATAAGACCCCAAGCATCTCTAAGGGAAATGACTAGGTCTTAATGAACTCTCTATTCCCCTCTTCTTTTACCACCATCACTACGTATGCCTAAACTGCAGCAGCTCTGCCTCTGCCCCGCCCCACCCTCGGTCCCCCTAGATGACACTCCACATGGCACAAAGGAGATTGAAAACAAATCAGAGCTGTCTGTCCCCTGCTCAAAACCCTCAACTGACTCCCACAGCTCTTGGTACATAACCTAGAATCTTCCCTGGGTCTGTGAGGCTCTCTCAGCCCACTACCGCCTCACTCTACTCTCTCATTCTGTTTTACCTTCACAGCATTTCCCACTGTGAAATCATCTAGTATTTGGTCCCTAGTTTACAAACGGTCCCCTGGCAGCCCGGCTGTGTGCACACTGCTTTAACTAAGGTGCCTGGTCCTTGGTAAATATTTACATAAGAATGACTGAAGAAGACGCCAAAACTTAAGTCTCTGGGCTCCTCGGTTCTGAATAGAGGACTGATGTTGAGGCCAGGGTCCCTGTCCCTGTAAGGCTGAACCACACAGCTGGCTAGTCAGGCATGGGGCTTCATAACACCATCCACAACAGACCTACAGACGGCTCTACGGAGGCATGGCTCTCCTCACTGACTCATCACACACCTGATTCCCATACCTTTCCCTCAGCAGGGAAATATCCTCATCTAAAATATCCTCCCCTCAATCAGCTCAAGTCTGGCCTCCTCCTAGAAGTCTTCTTGGGTTTCTCCAGTGTACTCCCCTTATTTCTTTCCTTTGGACTCCTGTAGTCTTTATAACCTGCATAGTCCAGTTTGGGGGCTGTATTCTGCGCTCTCTGTTGGGGTGTCTACTTTAAATATTGAGTGTCCATTACACCAAAAAGCCTTGGTGGTGCAGTGGTTACAGGCTAACCATAAGGTCTGCAGTTCGAATTCACCAGCCAGCCCCATCCGCAGGCGAAAGACAAGCCCTTCCACTCCCGTGATGGGTTACGGGCTGGGAAATTCACAGGGTCAGTCCCTCCGTGTCCTGTAGGGTCTCTGTGAGTTGGCGTCACGCGGTGGCAGTGAGTCTGGATTTGGGGTTGTCATGAACCCAGCACTTTGCCCCCTAATTGCACGGTGCTGTGCGCTACGGTTGGCAAGGCTTATGAGGTGACGTGACTCCGTGCTTGCACAGATGGGTCCAGCCCCACGACTGTCAATAAGGCGTCCTGATCCCTCTACTACCTGCAGGGCTCCCAGCGGCTCCGGGGACAGGTCTCTTCCGGGGCTTCGCAATACGAAGTCCCCGGGTCCGACTGGGTTGGAACCGGGCTAGCTGCCTGCTCTGTGCGCACCGGGCTCTTCCCGGGCCACCGGGCCCGCCTGGCCTAGCCTCGGGCCGCTTCTCTGGAACTGCTTCCCTGCCTCGGGGCCGGCCCAAGCTGGAACTGCCCTCCCATTTTGCAGACAGGAAAACTGAGGCGGGCCCAAAGGAAGACAGGCCCGCCGGGCCGGCCCTCACCCTTGTTCTTCTGAGTGCGAGCGATCTCCTTCTCGATCTCCGAGATCTTCTCCAGGATCCCCATGGCGGCGGCTCAGGGGGGCCCACCGGCGGCGGCGGCAGCGGCGGCGGCTCCAGCTCCAGCTCCAGCTCCAGCGGCGCCGCGGCTAATTCCAGCCGGAAGGTGGTGGTGGAGCAGCATGCGACCGGAAGCCCTCCGGAAACCGCGTCCCCGCGGCCCGGTGCTCCCCGGTTCCGCGTCCGGGCGGGCCGCGAGCGGCGAACGCCGGGCGCACTCCGTTCCGCCCCCTGGCGGAGCCGTCCTGGGAGCGCAGGCGCGCCAGGCCCCGGGACCCTGTGCGACAGGGTGGACCTGCCCCTGTGAGTGGCAGACACGTTAGCCCTTTAGGGGGCTGGAAAGAAAGCCCCGCTTTCTGCTGCCGAGCAGCTGGGTTTCGAAATGCCCTCGCAGCGAAGAGCCCAACGGGTGTGCCACTGGGGCGCCTTAGGAGTTCTGGGGGAGCAGTGCGGGAAGTCTCCCCTGGGCCTAAACTGTAGGACCCTGGGGCTTTCGTAGCGTGGAGAACAGGCTCTGAGCCGAAAGCCAAGTGGCCCCTGCTACTGCATCCCTTCCAACAACGTGCAAACATGTTGTCCCTCCTCCCATTTAAAGAATTAGCAAAAATCCGTGTCAGAATTTTCTAGGTTTTTCTGGCTTGTTTTTTACTATGCATTATATTGCGTCTAAATTGATAAATGGTTATCTTTTCATGATTGACTGAAAAACCATCGTGGTCAAATGGATTAGGATTCATCGTGACCCTTATAGGGCAGAGTGGAACTGTCCCGTGGGGTTTCTGAGGCTCTAAATCTCCCAACCTACCTAGGTGTAAGCCTGCCACAGCATTCTCCTGTGGAGCAGCAGGTGGGTTGAAATGTAGGGCTTTTTCAGTGAGGAGCTGAGCACTTAACCAGGGCTCCTTTTACACAATGGATGCGCCCTTAAGTTAAGGTGACCAGATTTTAACATTCGGGACACCATTGACCGGTGGTGGTGGTGG